ATAAAGGTAGGTTGTGTACTTTTGTCCAACTGAGCAATCTTGCTTTCATAAAATATACCAACTTTTTAATGACTGATGATTAACGTGCTGTAATACACAGATTAAATTTAAAAGCTCAAGTGCTGTACATGAGAGGTTAAGCTTTACTGGCTCCTCCTGGCGGTTTTACAAGGTGATTCCGGATACATTCCGGCATGACGTCAAATGATGCGATATACACCGCGTGATACTGCCTTTTGATGCGACACGCCCACCGGGGTATACTGCGAAATATCCCCCCCATTTTGAATGGCTGCATCTGTATACTGTACACAGAGGAAAGTGCAGGGTGCAAGATTTAAGATTAAGATTTGTAGGTAAGCGGATGTGTGTGAGATAAGAATCTACCATTCTCCCGAACTATTTTTAATTATTTACAGTACATGTCCCTACTTTTTAGGAATAGACTTTTAGGAAAAAAATACTTTTTGCCTTTTACAAATAGCTTCAAAGCTCAGGCTCATTGTTTCTTTCCTCACATAAAATCATTACCCACCAACCATATGGACTGCTACAGAGAATTATTTAATGAAAACAATGTAAAATTACAGTACACAATATTGTATTTTTAAGGGAGTATATATTATCAAAATATTACTGATTGCTAGCTCAGACACTAGCACTGAGTACTAATAATATTACAAAATATTTTAATGCCGCATTTAATATATATCCTCTAACCTCCTTTTTATTGCTTACCCACATAAACTCCATAAACTGTCAACTGACTGGTTTGCCAAGTTTTGAATTCTATCTAATGTTTATTTATTTTCTTTTATAGTTTTCTTTTATAGTTAGAAAATGTCTTTTCTAACATTAGTAACTCACTAATGTTAGTTCCTGACATATTGTATAATATTATAAGACATATACCTAAATGTTAACTGAAAACTTTTTTCTGTTAAATATAGCTGTGGAAAGGGATTTACTATTTACATTTAATTACATTTAATTTAGTTTGATGAAGTGATAACACTTATATAGCGCTTTTCTGGACACGCCACTCAAAGCACTTTACAGGTAATGGGGACTCCCCTCCCCCACCACCAATGTGCAGCCTCCACCTGGATGATGCAACGGTACCAATAGTGCGCCAGAACACTCACCACACATCAGCTATTAGTGGGGAGGAGAGCAGAGTAATGAAGCCAATTCATAGAAGGGGATTAGTAGGAGGCCATGATTGGTAAGGGTTACACCCCTGCTCTTTTCGAGAAACACCCTGGTATTTTTAATGACCACAGAGAGTCAGGACCTCGGTTTTATGTTTCATCCGAAGGACAGCACCTGTTTACAGTATAGTGTCCCTGTCACTATACTGGGGCATTAGGACCCACATGGACCGCAGGGTGAGTGCCCACTGCTGGCCCCACTAACACCTCTTCCAGGAGCAACCTTTGTTTTTCCCAGGAGGTCTCCCATCCAGGTACTGACCAGGCTCACACCTGCTTAGCTTCAGTGGGTTGGCAGTTGTGAGTTGCAGGGTGATATGGCTGTTGACAATAACTCATATAACTCAGTATATGAGTTATTCTGAGGCTTTCTTTCCTTCACCTGTGAAGACAAAAATTGTACCATTTTAGTGGAGCAGAAAGACATTTGTTTTAGAAGTGTTTGATTTGGCTCCTTGGCCCTAAAAAGGGTGAACAGCAGTAGTAGTTGAGGGATTTTGCTTAGGAATGTTATAGGCATGGTGTTGCCATGCTGTAACCAGTCAGCTCCACTAGAGGACAATATTTATTTGCTCCAGTGTTGTTCTAAAGCCATCAATGTTGTGAATTTGAGATAATACTCTTTGATAATTTACATATTCAAAATACTGCAGAGTTTCACATTCAAATAGGAGTCTATATAAAAAGAAAACCACTTTATAATCCACTAGTATCGCATAGGCAGTCCTATGCATTGGAAACCTCCATGTGAATATCAAATAAGGAAGCAATCCATAATTAAAAAATAATCTCATTAGCAGTAGAAGGTGCCCAAATTATGCTGAATTGAACACAGCAGAATCGTCATTTGGCAAAACAAAATGAGGTAGGCAAGGAATATACTGGTTTAAAATATTATACTAATGTTAAAGTCCTCAACACAAAGAATACCGTATAATCACATTTGGGCATTCCCAAACCATTTGTATGTGGCCATAGACACAAGAGTGTCGTCAGTGGTTCAGGATTAGGATTCTTTAGGTAAATTGAATAGTATCCCCAAATTCAGTCATAGTTAAGTGACAGCAGTGTAACTTTGGTTGGGTTATACAGTAGTTATTGCAAACAAGCAGATTTCTATTGCATAGCAGCATGATGTATTTCAAGGTTTTGTGAGCTTGTTACTTTACTATGAATAAATTAGTGAAAACTGATGTGTGAAGGTAAAATATTATTAAACATAATGTAATACTTGCTTCATTAGTACAGTTTCCACATAACTTCTGAATCCTGTAAAAGACGAAACATCTGTGCAGTTTCATCTGATAATCTATTTTGCACAGGAAAACTCATGTTGTGTCTTTGTACTGTATATTGTACAGCATTCTCAATGTTTTCAGTACAAAAATGATTTATGTATAACTTTGAAAAATGAAACAAATTTTAATATACTTGGATGAAGGTATCAACCAAATTAATGGCAATATAATAAGACAAGAGTAACAGATGCAAAAAGAAAAAAACAATATTATGTAATTATTAGTATATAATATGTTATTTGGAAATGATTGACCTACACAAACTAATTTTCCTTTACCTTTTTAATCTGTGTCCCTTGTTCTTCATTATGTCAAAATTAGCTTTTTTTTCTTCTGTACTTTTTCAGTCTGATGTGATCCACCAGAGCGTATTTGAGTTGATACACACAGATGATCGAGCCATGTTCCGTCGCCAGCTCCACTTTGCTCTGAACCCAAGCCAGTATGATAATGAACAGAACAGTGAAGGTGGGTTTTGTGGTTCCTCTCTGAAAACCCTTTAGAATAATTCTAGCAATGAGCACAACCTAAGGAAAATAAAGTATAAAGTGACAAATGGATATTTGCTTAGAAATAGCATTTTCATGTTGATAAATTAAATTTACTGTATATTGAAATCAAGTATGGCTCATGTGTTAGTTAGGCAAATAACATTCCAGGATGCTTGTGGTCATATATAAAAGTGCTAGTGCTAGCATTTGGCAGGAGCTTCAGTGACCAAGCTCAGTTTGGAAACGTTTCTTAATTAAGCATTGGTGTCTAAAGTGATAACAGCATTAAACTGAGTGGGCAACAGTGACGCAAGTATATACTCTACAGTTTTGATATCCATGCATTAATTCCAAGTACAAAGTAAAACAGGCAAGCAACTACAGATCCTTAAAAGCATTGCATGCATCTAAAAATTGGGCAAAGATTTGAAAGCATTTAAAAAAGCAAAAGCTTAAGGGCTGTAGCGATATTCCTCAACATAGGAATACATACACATTTTGTGCTAATTTTTGTCATACTATTCTTAATGAAGAACTAACACCTGCAGTTAAAAAAAAGGTTTTTGTATGATCTCTTCTGGAACTGAGTAAATCATCCTCTCACCTCGTCTATTGTATCAGTACAAGTTTCAAAACTTGCCTCCCAGTTTCCAGTTCTATCTGCCCCTCTTGTTATACTGTAAATGCGTCTTTTTAAGGATTCAGGCAATTTTACTGCGGATCTTTCAATTCAAAGGCTCAGTCCAGGGGATGGCCAAATTAGGCCCTTGGACATAGAGGAAAAACTATATACAAACATATGAAAAATATTAAATAATGTAGATCAGTATAAAAAAGGACAATACAAATTAAAGTGGTATTAAGTAATTATATTTAAAATTAGTAATTAAACATTCCCTCACTCTTCTCACCAGTGATAGTTCACCATACTTTTAAAAAATGAGAGACTGAGAAATATACGATGAAAGGCCTTACACCATTTGTAATTTTGTTGCTTGTCCTTTTGAATTATTTAAAATTGATGTACTTTCTATTATACCAGGAATTTAAAGCAAAATGTATCAGAATTCTAAAGTGAAATAAAACTAATTCTCCTTTAAGTTTTCACTCTGCATGAAAGTGGACAAATTGCACAGTAATGAATAGCTTGTGCAATTATTCAATTTACAGCCCTGTTCTTTTGTTCTTCTGGCAACTTTTGACATTGTAAATTCAATGCCTTTTCATATCCTTTTTGCAGTCATGCAAAATAGCAGCAGTGCTGGTATTTCCAACAATATTGTGACCTATGACCCCCAGCACATTCCTCCTGAGAACTCATCTTTCCTTGAGAGGAGCTTTTGCTGCCGTTTGCGCTGTCTCCTCGACAACTCCTCAGGATTTCTGGTAAGTTTCTGGTTATGAAGAGACTGCTATCTCTGGAACATCCTGATAATCAAATGGTGAACATTTAGGAGTATACTTAATAAACATTACTAATCAGCACTATATAATCAGAAGAAAACATTGACATTTAAGGTTTCAGTCTATTTATACATATGTAATAATCAGCAGGGGAAAGAACGTTTTCCTTAGGCCTGTGTCATTGTGTTGTTATTTAAACTATTAATAAAACCCTTTGTGTTTTAGGTAGTACTAGTGATGATAAGCACCTAGTTTGTAGTCTTGGACATAATGTTGCACATACAATGTAAATAATTTAAAAAGAAATCACAACAAATGCAAATAAAATTCACAAATACACATTTTTTTGTATTTTAATTAAGAATTATCACACAGAATTAATGTCTGTGTACTATAGGCTCATACACCCCCAATACCAAATGAGGAGAATTTCAGTACTATAGAGTATAAAAGACACATTATTCATATTTGACATTACAGTATGTATTCTGGTGCTGCTTTCTTCAACCAAACTATTGCTGTTCCCTTTTTATTTTATGTTGAAATATTTGAATGCTTTGTCTCCTTTTAAAACTGTTGTTAACTTCTTAATTCACTGGTTTATTCAATCTTGTGCCCTAAATTCTGTTTCATCTGAGCAAAAACTTTAAAGAGATGCTGGTGTAATGTTTAGTATTACATTCACTGACCAAAATATTAGGAACCTCTAGACAAATTAAAAAGACTCTTTGTGGTAGGCAATGTCTGGTTTGCTTGAGGAGTATGAGGCATCAATTTATCCTCAATTAAAATTAAAGTACTGTTAAAAACTAGTAAAACCGGTGGACCATGTAGGCAATTTCAGTCATCATTAGCCTTATTAAAATCTTATGTGAAGCTGATCCTACCAGAAGAATGGGATGGGATTGGGTTGCAAATATTTCAAAATCTTGCAAATTACATGCCAGCTTATGCTGTTCTTACCAATTGAGAAGATTTGCAAATTAAAAAAAATGTAATTGTTTCTGTAATCTGTACATATCTTATATGATCCTACATTTTGTGTGATCTATAAAATAAATTTACATTGTGGCTGATATAAGATTCAAACTAAACAATTTCATGAAAACTTCAGCTAGAGTGACATTCAAAAATAATCCCTCTAGTAGATTGAATTTAATGTGCTGGTTTGCCATGTAATGTGTACTGGTAAACTTTATGTACTTTTCTAATCACTACGACTACTTTTGCATTTAGGCTCTTAACTTCCAGGGACGATTGAAATATCTCCATGGTCAAAATAAGATGTCAGAAGATGGTACCATGATGCATTCTCAGCTGGCCCTCTTTGCCATTGCCACGCCTGTTCAGCCACCATCCATACTGGAGATCAGAACCAAGACATTCATCTTTCAAACAAAGCACAAGCTAGACTTTACCCCAATGGGATGCGACACAAGGTAAATGATATTTAAACTCTTAGATCGTAGTCTGTAAGTTAGAATTCCTGTTCTGTTATCTGGAGAAACAGTTTTCATCGTCACACAAGGGAGAGACAATGTATCATTGATTTTCTCCATTATGAATAAATCATAGATGTAAGGACCTTAATTTTAAGCATTGAGCATTTTCTAAAATGTGCATCCTGGGATAAACAAAAGCAAAATCAAAACAACAAAAAGCACTAAATGAGGTACTCCTTTACTTGAAGAGATGTGGGAGTATGAAACAGGCTACCCAGCCATATTGTGGAAGCTGATTCCTTGATACATTAGTGTCTTTTAAAAAAAGGGCTGGATGATCAATTAGCACCTAACTATGAAACAGGCTAGATGAATTGAATGCTCTCCACTTGTTTGTAACATATGAAGCACATATTTATACCTCCTGTATTGTGTGTCAGACAAACATTTCTTAACTACTGATATTATAATCCACATCATTGCAGGATTTCTGCAAACAGAGTAATAACACAGATGGTATAAGTCTTGATATAGAATTTATCATTCTGATGTTAGTATATGACATAGTCATATGAAGTTTATAACTTAAGTCAGTATCTGGAAATTTACTTATGAGCTACAGTAATAGCAGCAAACAACTTAGCATCTGCACCTTGAATGTTGAAACTCACACTACATATTAAACAATGTATAAAATATAAAAATATTTTGATAGATTGCTTTAAAAATATATTTAAAAATGTTATTACCAATACTGTATTTCAGAGGTTTGTATTGATCCCAAGAATAATCCTTTCATTGTTTCCTACTTACAGAGGAAAAGTTGTTTTGGGATACAGTGAAGTAGAACTCTGCATGAAAGGAACTGGCTATCAGTTTATTCATGCAGCAGATATGATGTACTGCGCAGACAACCATGTGAGAAGTGAGTTAAGCTATAATTTACCATCATGAATACATACCATATATAAATCTGCCATTATAAGCTATCTGAAAGCTATCTTGTCATCTATATACTGTACAGTAGATACACAAAAATGATTTATAAATTTTGATAAAGCAGTATCCATACTCTGCTAGTTTGCTGAAAATGTGGCTAAAGGTAAGAAGCATACATGTTGGCACGGTGGTATTGTGGCACATTGCTGCCTCACAGCACTGGGGCCCTGGGTTCAATTCCTGGGGTGCTATCTGTGTGGAGTTTGTATGGTCTATTTGTGTATGTGAATTTGGTTTGGGTGCCCCAGATTCCTCCCACAATCCAAAGACATGCTGGTAGGTTAATTGGCTTCTGTGAAATTGACCCTGGAGAGATTGTATACAGTATGTTTGTGTGCCTTACAATAGACTGACTTTGCATCTAAGGTTTATCCTGCCCGTGGCATTATGCAGGTCATGTTTAGTGTGGAGGCGGAACCCTTGTCTAAGGGTGATGAGTTGCCTTGACAACCACGGCTGAGGCAGTGCATTTTGGATGAGCCATAGCTGTGGGTTATTTAAGAACACACTGAACACTTCACTGGTTGGACCAGCAAGCAGGTCCTGAGTCAGTTGTAGGTGAGAGAGAATGCAGGACCCTAGCTGTCCTATATGAGAGTGGTGGGTCGAAGCAGGACCAAAGCGGGTATAAGACGCTTTTGGTGTGACTATAGCTAAGAGTGTGTCTAACTGGAGAGAAAGGGAAGACATATTCAGGGCTGCAGTTAACACCCTAAGGGGAGAGTTTTAGAGCGACAGTCCCGGAAGGGATTGTGGAGAGAACGTAAGGCCATCTTTTGTTTTCTCCTGCCTGCCGTGAGTATTCACTGGGACAGGCCGAGTCTTTATTCTCTTGCCCCAACGTGAGTATTCACTTGGACAGGCTGAGTCTTTATTCTCTTGCCCCAACGTGAGTATTCACTGGGACAGGCTTAGTCTTTATTCTCTTGCCCCACCATTAGTAGTCACTGGCACAGGGTGAGTCTCTAGGCCTCACTCTTTTTTATTCCCATCAGGACTTCACTGTTCAAACTGGCTGTTTTTAGTCTTGTCTGGATTCAGTGGTTCAAAGCAGTGTTTTTGTTTTTTCTTTTCTTTTTCTAGTCCAGTCTGGACCCCGCTGTCACAAGCAGCTGTGTTTCTATTGTAGTCTAGACCCAACTGTAAAGCAGCTCTTTTTCTTTTTTTAAACCTTCCAGATGGGACATCACCTTTTACCAGGGCTACGCTACAGCCACAGCTCTTTTAAACCTACATTGTTACGCTTCCTTGCTGCACCCAGTGCTTCCCAGGATAGGCTCTGGGCCACTCTGATCCTCAATTGGATAAGAGGTTTTTGAAAGTGGTGTGATGATGTGATGAAATTTTACTTCATTTGGTTTCTTCTAGTGTCATAAAAATATCTGGGATAAAATACATTTCTACTGTATATTAAAACATTTCTAATTTGTATACAGAAGATGTGATATATTGTATATATATATATCTTCTCTGTGTCAATTGCAGTGATCAAAACAGGAGAAAGTGGGCTTACAGTCTTTAGACTCCTAACCAAGCATTGTGGCTGGATATGGGTCCAAGCAAATGCAAGACTTGTATACAAAGGAGGAAGGCCTGATTTCATTGTTGCAAGACAGAGAGCCTTGGCGTGAGTATCTGCTTTTAATACTGTGACAATATATATTTTAGCCAATAACAAAAATGGGTTGTTTTATATAATCTAAGGCTGCAGGGAGTCAAAAATAATATATATATACTCTATATACACGTACTTATAATAAGAATATACTAATAATAATAATAATTGCTTCCACTTACTGTATATAGCGCTTTTCAGGACACTCCACTCAATGCGCTTTACAGGTAATGGGGACTCCCTTCCACCACTACCAATGTGCACCATCCACCTGGATGATGCGACTGCGGCCATAGTGTGCCAGAACACTCACCACACATCAGCTATTAGTGGGGAGGAGAACAGAGTAATGAAGCCAATTCATAGATGGGAATTATTATTAGGATGCCATGATTGATAAAGGCCAATAGGAAATTTGGCCAGGACACTGGAGTAACACCCCTACATGTATGTACTTGTGTTACAAGGATTCTTGAATTTTCTGAAATGTATAATTTGAGTGGTGTTTTACATTATTATAGAAGAATTCTACAACAGTACCATCAGTTCTTTTTTTTCTAATCATAATGACCAACATCATTCTAAAACATGCCACAATGCATTGCATTCCATTATGTTTTTCAGAAATGAAGAGGGTGAAGAGCACTTCCGCCAGCGGAAGCTGCAGTTGCCCTTTCATTTTGCCACTGGAGAAGCCGTCCTATATGACACCAGTCCCTCTTTGGATGACTTCATAGGATCCAGTAAAGCGCCTAAAATCAGGAAGACATCTGATCAGAAGCCACTGGATCCTGATTCCCTTCTTGGAGCCATGCTTAAACAAGACCAGTCAATATATGTGTCACATGCAGCCTCTGAGCCACAGTACTCCCTTGATAAAGCTTTTACGGACAGTCACTCAGTTGTTAAAATTCAAGGTGACCTTAACCCTTGGCAACAAGGAAACCCTGAACATAGTGCCTTTAAGCAGGAAAATAGCACATTGGCCATGATTGATACCTTAGAACAGCTCATTAATGACAGCAACCTTTGTAACACTCTGCAAAAGTTGGATGTGGATGAGCTAGGTCTGAAAGATTGGGAGAATGCCCTACTGAAGATGGACATCAACAGTGATATGTCCATCGAGCTGAATGACATCCTTACTAACGACATTTTCTCATATGTGGAAGATGCCTTGTTTAAGGAAAGGGACATGGTTGCAAGTCCTGGGTCTGACCAGCACAATTCTGAACAAACTGTATTGCCAAACGGTTTTGCAGCCAATCAGTTAGGTAACCAGAATGCCTTTGTCAATGTACAACAAAACCTTTTTGATAATGACTCTCAAAGCAGTTCCTTGTCACGGGGTAAGAACCAGCAAAGTTTCTATCCTCAAAGGTTTCCCACTACAGAAATACAGAATTCCCTGCTGATAGATCAGCAAAAGTTCAATCATCAAACTCAATTACTTCCAAATAGCCAAGGAGTTTCTCACAGTCAACCCAATTATGTTGGAATGGGAGCACAAAGTTTGGTAGGATCAATAGAAGGAGCTGGAGACTTAAAAAATGTTGATCCTCAGATCCCTGTGGAATTACATGCTTCCTCACAGATTCAGCAAAGAATTAATCATACACAAACTGGTGATCTTCCCAATCAATGCAGTTCTCTTGGATTGCCTGAACACAGCTCTCAAAGCACCTTGGTCCAAAACTATCTGACTTTTAACCAAGCATTGACGAGATCATGCATGCAAAATGCCCAGATTGGACATGAGTCACAGAATTTGTCCAGCCCCAATCAGCATCAGTTGAAAAACATGGATATAAATACCCAACACCGATTAAGGGCAGCTTCTCAGGCCAGTGCAGGTCAGGCTTATCCTAACTCACTTGCTTTGTCTGCTCAAGGATCACTTCAACCTACATCACAAGCCCAGCAAATGGTAGACTCACAGCAGACAATTTTAGGCCAACCAAATCATATGGCCTCAAGTCAGAATAAACAGTGGGTTCCTTCCATTCCTAACACTAATTTTGCACAGAGTGTGCTACAGACATGCCCATTGTCTAAGAAAGAGCTGCTCTTAAAACCACCTACAACTTCCCAACTCCATGGTCATTTCTCAGTTCAGACCCAAAACAATTCGACTCTAAGAACACAGCCATGGCAGCAGAAACAACGGCCACAGCAGCAACAGCAAATACCACCGGTGATGCAAAATGGCCAGCACTATCCCACAGAGCCGCTGCCAGAAAGACAAACTACATCACACCTGCCTAGCTGTTATAGCACAGCCCAGGAACACCAGTGCAATACCCTTGGAAGCAAGGTGTTACCTCAGAATTCCCAAAATTGCAGGGTTGGTTTTGGACCTCAAACAGCAAATAATATCTACAGGTCCCCTCAGGGGCTGATGGTTAATCCTATAACCCCATCAAACAGTTGCATGTTTGAAAACCGCTCATCAGTCCCATTACATGGGATGCAACTGAGCAACACAGGACTTTCTGCCTCTATGGCTTTGTGCCAGAAGTTAAAGCCATCCCCCAACCAAAGCCCCCCACAGGCATCTTGCTATTTCCAAAGAAATGCCAGCCAGCACATTGTTGGAACATCTGTGATTCCTCAAGAAGACATAAGCATCAGTCCTTTGTCATGCCAGGTTCAATCAGATTTCATTCCTGAGAGCCTGTTATCACATCAATTTGTGAACTGCAATGGACAGACTCAGGTATATTAAAGCATGTTCAAAATAAATTTAGTGTATTTATATCTGCCTGTGAGCATTTCTTCTTTTTAATGTAAAGTGTGTACTCTTTTCATGGTTTTAGTTTATCTGATTTCTCATCCAGGTTATGTACTGTAGAAAAGTTTGTGGGCAAAATATTCAGTTTTGATCTCAGTGTTGATGAATCTTCAATTTGTTGATACTTTCTGAGTGAAACTCAGATATTACGAATTACACACAGAGTCTAAGGCCCAGTTGAATAGAAAGACCAGTCGCAGCAAACAATATACTGTAATTTATACTTGTGTAGCAACAATTTTCAACAAACTGTATTTCATCCTATGTGTATTTTCATCCTATGTGCAACGAAAAAGTACATGAATGAAATAATCAACAAAATACTGTTGAAATGTTGTTATACCTTAGCAAAATAAGCACTGTGATTTTTTTTTTATATATAGAGGTAGGTGACTTGAGATAAGCTGTCCAACTCTGTCTCAATACAACCACAACCTAACAGCATTGATGAAACTGAAGACAGGAAAGCAAATCTGTTTTCCTCTGATGAGGAGATGAAAATGGATTTAAAAGTGTGACTGTTCATAAGAACAGAACAGTTAAAAAATAAAAATACTTTTATTCAGAGTAATACAACAAAAATAAAAAAAGATTTCAAAGCTTAAACAAAATAAAATGTAAGAATTAATAGAAACTAGAAGAACATTTCAAAACATTAAAAATTAGAAGGGGATATTAAGTTATATCATAGCTCAACAAAAGGCTGTAATCATGCAGATATACTGTAGTTATTGTACTTGATCAATGTATTTTAACATAAGAACATGAGATATACTGTATACTGTATGTATAGTAGAGATATCCATATCATGACTTGTTAGAAAATGTGAGATTTATGTTTTAGACATTGAACATCTTTGAGATTACATTTTAAATACTTCAGACAAGGGTAATTTCTTAATTTGGAACGATTTTTTAAGTATTCATTATTAATGTTTTCTTTTCATTTTTTGTAGATCCGTCCAGTTGAAGAGAACGGATCTTGTTCTTTTCCACCAGTCCCAAATGGAAACACATTTTTCTGAGAACAGTTAAATGAACTTCTATGATTTCTAAAGGGATTTCTTTTTCTAGCGGCATTGCAAGTAGAAAAGAAATTGAACGCATGCTCATCCGAGTCCAAAGATCACAGCCACATGTCCTTGAGGTGCCTTCAAAATATTAATTTTTCATACTTCACTTTTAACATGAAAGATTTCTGTGACATTAAAAACTGCACAGGACATGAATCCTGCTGAACCCCGACAAAGGGAATACAAAGGATCATTCTTTGGAAATGTCAATCAGCAGCAAAACAATTAGCTTCTGATGTTCCTGATGCACATTTATGAGGGTGAAAAGAATTTGGAAATGTTTATTGAAAGGACCAAGCCCTGAATGGATCTTGGTGTTTATTATTTTCAACCCCCACCCACAAAATTCGAGACAAGGATTATTATTATTATGGAGCTAAACATTTTGGTCAGAGGGAGATTTACAGTATAGCTGAAGAAATAAGTAAAATGACTGTCATTCCACAGCCATGTCCTGAAATTCTCTGATGAGATTCTTGGGAATGTAGCTGAGTTAACTGAAATACTGGCCATGACAGTAAGTATCATATAATCCAAAATCTAGGAATAAAGTATACTCTTGTAGCTTTGTAGAGGGTTTATCTTTTAAGTATTGGATGTTTTTAGGTATTGGCTTTATTTAATTTTTAGTACTATAGATAGGGTAAAATATAATACAGAATTGTAGAATTGATGGCATAATTGGCATATTGTTTTAGTTAAGAGACCAAAGAGTACTCAATTGTCTATAAAAGGGTGGTGAAACTCTACTCTAACCCTAACCCTCTACTAAATTTTAGCTTAATTGAGACAATTTTATTATTATAAATACAAGTTTTTGTATGTATTTTAATATAAAGAGGCCTAAAGATGTTCAAGCTGATCCTAATTTCACTATCAAAGTCAGACATGGAAGTAAACAACAATTATTAATTTGAAGACCATGTCCCCTATCCCCTCAGAAAATAAGTAGTTAAGCAGAAGAGCATATCCTCCATCCCATCTGAGGTTTGTGTCCTGTGACATAACATCCCACACAGCATGTGATTGTGATTGATGACAGAAGGCAACAATAGTTGAAACTAGTAAAAGGAAAAAATACATATATTCATGAAGTCTTTCTTAATTATTGGACGTATTATAAGTAATTTGATTAGACCCTAATTTATAGCCTCTACAGTGCATTTGCTTTACAGTGATGTAAATAAAAAATGTAAGTAAAATGACTTGCCATGAAAAGATATGTGTCCTAAAGAGCTACATAAAAACAATCCACAGAAAATGTCTGCTAAGGCTCCTTGCTATCTAAATGGCTTTTAAATGTTTTTTTTAGTATTATATTATAAAAAATGTTAGTCCAAATATTATTATGAATATATATTATTCTTCTGCTTTTTTAAAAAAATGTGCAACTTTTTATATTTTTATAAGCATTGAGTTGTAATTCTTTACATGTCATTGAGCCATTATGTGTTTGTCAGAAGCATTGATGTTTGTGTGTTTGCTTTTATTTCTGTTGTAATTAGTACTAAAAAGAAGGCAGCCAGGAGTTTTTTAAAGTTCAGTCCCCTTTTATTCTTAAGCACTTTGGATAAATCTGTCCCATGTTTTCTTGAGAGGAAGCATGGGAAGCAACGGGCATGGGATAGCTAAATCGTTGTTGAGTGAGTTTGTCTTTTATGTGGACATGTGGATTTATCATGTGTATATATATATATTGAGCAACACGTACAGTAGTATGTTATAAAAGCATTCAGTTGAAGAAAATTCATTTATGGATCCAGGCTGAGGTTTGATGCAGGCTATGATTGTGGCACTGAGATCATGGGTGTCCTGATACCCCTCATGTTTAAGTATTCTGTGGAATTTTTTATGAGCTGAAGTAAGAACTGCATGGTTTTGTTGACTATTCTGCTTTTCTCAAACATATCTGAGAGTCATTTTTTAGCATCAAAGTCAATATATTTATATTGCATTTTTAATAGGTTGTCATATCATGAATTGCAAAACATTTGACAGCAATTTCCCTTGAGGAAGCAGAACAGCCCTGACACTCTGGCAAGTGGCCAGTTATGATCATAACCCAGTATTTTGATGAAGAAATTACTGAAGTGTTCTGTTAACATTTGTACACAAAAACAATTAAGGTTAAGCAAGTAAGGAAAAACATAGGGATAGCATGGGCAATAATGTACTGTATAATTATTTAGAGACACACACATATTGTATATAAAGATTCAGACACTTTCTATCTGTGAATAGAGAAAGATTTTATAAATCTTACAAATACAGGGGATATAACTTAGAGCACTAACAGAGTATATAAAGTACAGAGTGTATATAAAGAAACATTTTGAGAACATGAGAATCGTTTGACCTGCCACAATCATAGCTGTTACAATAGTTGCATAGTGAAAAGCTGATTAGATCAGCTTAAATTAGACTCACTTCTAGGCTGAAAAACCTGTGAAAAAGTTTGTATTAATTATCTCATACTATGGTAAGCAGTGCATCTTGTATCTTAGTGTGAACCTATATATGGAATTTCTTCAGGAGTTTCATGATGCATGTTTTTAAGCAGGCTAAAGAAGATTTTTTTTATCTAGTATTATCATTTCCCACCCGTTTTTTTAGAATTGTTGTTGTAGGTGAAGGTGGTCCACATTGAGACAAAACAGTGTTCCTCAAAAAAATGCTGGTTTGTTAATATAGAAAGACCTGATGTATTTTCTGTACTCATTGTTCTTAAAACATTTTGGTCTTTGTTTATAAAATGGGAATTGCATTTTTAATATTTCCCTCTACTTTAGCTTATATACCAAAACAGAATATTCTTCTACGTTTCTTGTTTCTTTGCGAAGGAATATTATGGTTTTGATGTGCAGGGAAGATGTTGATAAAAAATGGCAGCTATACTGTATTTTACAGTGAAAGTATCAGTTTAAAGTCCATCACACTACATAACTTTGTGGCCACAGGCAGTTGGCTAGTAGTATGCCAGAAGCGCCGCACAATTCCAGAAATTGGGTGTACTTTTAAATTGTAAAATTAAAATATATGTACACATAGAGGTCCAGTGTAATGCTTTAAAATGTAATGATTTATTCTATGTGCCTTAAATTTGGAAATCTGTGATTGAGGGACATGTGCTGGTTTCTTTTTCATTTTAGGGGGTGCAGTGGATACATTAATATCCACGAGGTCACACAAGGTCTGTGTAGCTTCAACTATTTCATGCATACTGTAGTCTGCTCCAAAAAAACTAGTTTAGAGATAGCTCACATGCAGTTGATGCACTTTTGATCTTATTAGGTTTTATGTGATATTACTGAGCCAATGATTCTTAAAGTTGCCCCTTTTCAAATTAAAATTATGACTTTCAAATAAACATTTCTAGGAAATGTTATTTAGCACACAATTGCCTACCTTAGTCCAGTTCCACCTTTCCATTAAGTACAGTGAAGGTGTTGCATTCTGCTACCCAAAGGTATACAGCATTCAGCTAATATGGCAAAACCCAATTAGTAAAAAAAAAGCAAAATGTCTAGATATATTTCCAGATAGACTACCAAATAGTTTTCCACATGATAATTGTGGAAAAGACTGCATTATCTCATGCCTCTAATATCTTGAACCATTTTTTATTTTTGCATTTGCTATTGAAGTTATGTTGTTACATTAAGCAAGATGTGACATACAGTATTGCCCTGATGACTAGCAGTTGACCCTAATGATTGGTGTTACATAGAACCTATCTATGAAATAGATACCTATCTATGTTTGTGACATCACAAACATAAGTAGCTGATGAGTTATGTTCTTTGCTTTTTGGAATATTTAATGTTAAATAATACATATGACAGTGGTTAGTGGATGAGCAAATAGTTAAGAATCAAAAGGGAACAATGTGAAAATAATTTTGTTACACATGAGTAAAGGTAATTGCAATATTAATTAAATTAATGCATTAATGCAATAAAGACAATAAATATGTGAACTTCCTCAAATTGATGTGTGTAGGGTTATTCTGTCACACTTGTTCATGATAATTGGACATTAAATGTGCACTTCAATTCTCCTGTATGACCTAGGGGCAACTTTTGTAAATTATTGTCCGCTTTTAAATTTGATGTCTTATAAAATAACTTCATTAGTGTATACATATTCCATACATGGAGATTAGTATTGAAAGAAGTGTCTGGAAAAGTACTTGTTGCCACAAGGAAAAACAATCTTGTAGACTAAACTTTTGCATGTCATGGTTCAGTTTGGAAGAAAATGGCAACATTAATGGGGCAAGTCTGCAAAAATGTAATGTATTGTTTACAATGACTTGACTCCCACTGTTACTATAACAATTCACAGCTCTAGGCCTTTGTATACTTCCCTTTCAATTTTAATTAACCTGACATTTTGGTGTTGTTTTAAGAACACTAAATTGGGCTTAATAAAGCATTAGACTGTTCAAACATTTTTAAAGGAATAAGAACTGGACCCACATATGATAATAATAGCATGAACAGTTATTTCAACCTTCAACATGACATTTAATTATTTCAGCCACTAAACATACAATTTATTGAGCAAATATCTGATATTTTAATACTGCTGTGGATGAATATACCAGTATACAACCTGTTAAATGGTTTCCATTGTATTTGATTATTTCATTACAAACAGAGCCTTAATTTTATGTCTGGCAATTGATGGTACTTTAAGAGTTCTATTAAAAATACTGTTTGCTTTAACAGGACACATTATTAATTTTGGGGAATAAATCCCTTTCAGGCAGAATGCAGCCTGTACCTCTTGTTGAAGTGCCACATCACTGCCTTTCTACTGAGTACGTATATTAAAGGCAAAAATTATTACAAAATATCCTGTCAATTTATCTGATCCAACCTTTCATTTCCCACAAGGCCAGGTTAACAGGGTAGCTTATCACCATTTTTAGTGACATCACAACTGTTCTGACAGTGTGCCTTCCCAAACTTGAGCCTGATTAAGTAGTTTTGCTAGGCCCATTGAAAAAAGTTATTTCTGTAGAGAGCTAACCTCCACCAGATTGCTATATTCACCTTACATTTAAATTACTTCTTTCTGAAACGATACATGAAAGCTTTTAGATCTACTGCTTAGGATACCTGTGACTATTTTTGTTTTTTCTTTATGGCTTTTCCTATAGGACTGTTGCAGATTCCTAGCAGCTGATGCAGCTTCTTTTGAGATTTTGGATGTGTGGTTAAGGTTTGACAGATTTCAGCTTTTTGTGTTATTGTTAAGGCTTGCAGCACCTGGGATTGTTTCATTCTCTAACCTATTTCCTCTAAGAGTTCTGTGGATTGCTCACTACTGGTTGTAGGCTCCTTCACAGAATTTTAAATGCCTATATACTGACTCAAGGGAAGGTCTCAACTTATTTGATGCAGAGTCTCAAATTCTCTTGACACTAGATGCACGGTTTCCATCATTGCATGGTCTTGAGCATTAATGTGACTTAAGGTTTCAATGTAAGATCTCAAACTTTGACATGACCTAGATCATCAGTGCAGGATCTCAAGTTATGATGCAGGATTTAAAGTAAGATATCAAGCATTGACATGACCTCGAGTATCGATGCAGAGCCCTGACTCCCTCAAGCATTGGTACAGGGGCTTTTAAAACAACACACTAATGCCCCAATTTCAGCCTAGCATTTGATGAGCCACTGCAAAGGTATACACAAGGCAAAGGAGTCATTGCATCAGTCGATTGTTTCTGTGTTGAAGGCAAACAATGCCTTCATAAAATCAAACATTGAGAAATGACTTTAGTTAAGCTGATGATTTTCCCTTGTATGGAATAACAGATAAGTCAAGTGACTGTGGCATGTAAATAGTTTTTTGTGGCCTATTGAGCAGCCAGAAATTTGGATACCATCTCCCTCCCACTGTTTCCCTTATTATTTGTTGGAGGATGGAAATCTTGGTGGCACTTACCTGGTGGCAATCTCAGCCTGCCATGATAAGGTGGATGGATCTCATAAACTCTCCACCATGTGAGTCTGCATAGAGCCATAAGACATCATCCAGTGGTGGATTTGCATCCTCTGTTTTTTATGACAGTGTTCTTTAAAGATACTATATCAGTCTGGAGGGTAAAGGAGTTCCACATACTTTTAGCCAGTGTCTTCTTGGTATTCATGAAAGCTGAATATCCGTCTTCAGCTTTTGTCTGCCTAAAACATGACAATTGTCATTCCATGTCAAATCAACCAATCTTGTTGGTGGACATCTATGCACATCCATCATGGCTATCTCTACCTGCTGGCCCTGTCATGTTGCTGGACATTTACTGTGGCTATGTCAATTGTTAATGTCATTCATATGACCTACGACACCTCTAGCCTTTATCCTTTGGGTAGTCTGTAGACTGTAGCTAGGTCCCCATCTACATTTTATATATTTTTATTATCTTTTTTTATGGAAGTGACACAGACTTTGCCTTCCTTGTCCTTGATTAGATGCAGAATGTCTCTATCTAGAATATTATATTGCGGTACCCCCAAATACCTTCAAACTTGTTAAATTCGTGACCACTGTAAATCCAACCTTTCTGTTCATGGTTAAATGGGTACTCCTGTTTCCCTAGAGTTATGACATTGCATTCCACCTAAAAGAAGATTGGGGTCATTATCAAAAGCTTCTTGTTTGTAGAAAATGGTAATGGACAGCCTCTTAAGAGAAGAAGGGCAGAGCCAGATGATGTGTCAAGGTCTAAATAAATTACATTAATGTAGGTACCAGGATATATAATTGCAGCGATATAGCTCTTTCCCAGGAGGTAATAACTGCATTCTTTTTTAGGGTCTGTTTTTTTGTGAACTATCCATGATTTTAGGATTCATTTGCAGCTTGTAGAAAGAAACAAAGTAATCTTCCGTATGCTTGTGATGGAAGCACATGCTTTTGCAAATATTTCCAGAGCCCTGCCTTTATGCTGTTTCCTCATACATCCCAGTGTCTCCATTTAATATGCAGTATCAGTGTATTATGTACAGTATAGTCATTTTGTGTCTTGTTGCTTTTAAAGACCTTAACATACTACTGTATATATTTTTTTGTGCACGGCAGTTTAATTTGTGTTTTTATTAAGAAAAGACGTTTCTTTAAAAAAGATACATGGTCTTGTAGCTTTCTTGCTTCATATAGCATATTAATAATGGCCTGCCTTGTTCCTTTTTATTCTTCTTTGTAATCTTTATATTATTAAAGAGGCATTCAATGACTCAGCATATTTTTTACATCTTATTTATATGCATAAGCTTTTCTATTTGGTGAAATTATTTTTCACTTATTTAAAAAAAACTAGTCCTCCCAAAAAATAAGAGGTGGAATCAAATGTTTAAAATGAACATGCAATCGATCTGCTGGTATGTGAAAATGTCCATTTGAACTGACTTTGACCAAAAGTGGACTCCACTGGATTCTTATTCAGGTAATGTTGTGGAAACATAGTGATCCAGCCCTTAACCACTGTGAACTTGAAGTGATTAAGTTCACATAATCACTTTCCAACAAAGCTTTAAACAAAAAATATTTTTACAGGTAATAAAATTGTACATAATTTAATTGTATAAAAAGTGTGTAATTTCTTTTATGCAAACTTTAAACATACTACAGTTTCCTTGACAATACAGTATGATACTGTTTGGTCTGTATATTTTACAAATGGACAATATGCCATGTTTTGTTTTAGTCAGTACCATTGAAGGGATTCTTCAAGAAATGGCTTGCCTCAGCATTCATGGGTCAAGAAATTGTTTGATTAAGACCAATTAGCAGCCTTTTGAATAGCAGAAAAAACATCATAATTAAATTTAAGTGAGGTGGTTAATTAATACTTAAGAGAATTAGAAGCCATGGTATAAATTCATTATCCTCAAAGAAAGGACAAAATACAACTTTTTATTCTAATTTGGACACAGGAGCAATTATTTTGATTAAAAATAATCACTGTAACAAATTATGTCTTGTTTCACTCTCTTGTGTAATAATCATGACGTTTACAAAAAATAAGCTTCTTCATTTTTTGTGGTATTCACTGTCACATTTTTTTTTCAGAAATTACTTTTGTTTTAAAATAAAATTGCAGCTCCAACAATATATTCAATTAAAATTAATCAAATACTGGCATCGTAATTATAATATAGCATTAAAAATATAATATAGCAACATCACAAAGTGACACCACAACCCAAAAAATAGGAACAATTTTTTGGGGTGTTTCGGGAACAAAGATGTGGTGGGTTTCAAAGGGGGAGCTACCCTTTAATGAGCTTTCCTTGAGTTCAGTTCCTGGAGTGCTAACTGTATGGAGTTTGCATGTTTCCTCCGAGTTTGCATGGGTTTCTTTTATACACTTTTATACACTTACTTGATAAGAAGACAAAGAACTTAAGTTTCAAAAAGGAAACCTTCAAATAATTTCTATTGGTTAAGCAAATTTCAACCTCAATCAAAAGATGTCTACATAACTGAGCTATATCAGTGTTTTCTAAAAGCAGGTAGTTGCGATTGGCCTTCTACACAAAAATAATTCTTTGGGATTCTTAAAACAAGTATTCTTTGTGTCTTCGGGCCCGTTTCTTATTAAAAGTAGATACATTTAATGTTGCAGCTGGTGTTTTGCTGAACATGATTTACTGTACATTTAACCCTTAAGTTTAAAAGAAATATTGACCCATCCACAAAGTTTTATCCACAGATTTATTTTACTGTTCACACAAACGCACAAAAATCTAACTGAAGTTATAGCTAACATGTACTACAATTATAGGGTTCAGTATTCTCACTTTTTCCCCTTGTTGCCTTGTTGATGTTAGTGATATAATAAATCAACTATGCATTTTTATTTATTCATGGCATAATTTGTCTTACTTTCATATTATTATACTATATAGTACGATGAGGAATAACGCTCCTCCACTGACATCTCTCCCAGCAGCAAGCTAAGCTTTTCCCAGCAGGTCTTCCATCAGGTTACTAGCAAAGCTCACAACTGTTTAGTGTCAGTAGATTGCCATTTGTGAGTACAGCACATTGTGCAATTAAAGGAGGTCAAACTCCATTATTATTTGAGATGATATGGTCTATTTAAAAAAGGAACAGTACAGAGTGTACTGTAGTTTTAAAATGTCAGCCATGTGAATCAAATATGTGAACAAAGACTACAATTCTTGACATGCATCACACGTGAATCACATGAAGTCACAACCCAAAATACTGTATGCCAAAACAACAGAGTACAAGTCAATGAACTGCTGTATGATCAGTATGCTGTATACTGTATATACAGTAAATACAGTATGTTTTTAAAACCACTACAGTATTGTAAAATATATATCTCATGATCAGAATCTAAACTAAAATTAGTTCCCAATTAATTGTTGCTGAAATTAGCACTAAGACAAAATATAGGTTATTTTAATGCACATGTAAAGCTGAAAAAAGCACATTGCGTCCCCAACGGCGTATAACAATAAACTATTTTTTTACATATCTGGCTAAAAAAATTTATTCGTGAAACAGCCCTACTTTCATTTTTAATAGAAAATGTATATTTAACATACTGTGATATACAGTATAAAACTAACAAAAGTAAAAACAGTATACAATTCTATAATTGGAAAAAAATAATTGGAATTGAAACCAGGTGTTTTGCAAGGCAGACACTGTCAAGGTTACAATATGTGATAATTTTAAAATGAAATAAAATCTTAATAATGATGGAGAGTTGCTGAAGTATCCTTCAAAAGAGAACATTAGCAAACAACTGCATTTTTTAAAAGAGGCTTTAACTTGCATGTCAGAATACTTTGAAGGTGTATTAACATTTTTAAACCTGAAGAAGTAATCTGTTTCTTATGGTGTACATTAACTAAATAACATTTGAAGAGAATTACTTTCTTATTGTATTTTAATTGGAATGATTTTACAATTAGGCTTTTGCCAATCTATCCATTTTCAAACTGCTTTATACACAGCAACCATCAACATAAAGGAAGCATTTTACACAAGATCAGGAAAAGAATGAAGTGTTGTGACCTTTTTGTTTTCAATTGTGGGCAGTGATCTCACATCAAGGTACCGGCAAGGCTTACATCTGCATAGCTTCAGTGGGTTGCCAGTTAAAGTGGAAAGGGTGACACTGTATACAATAAGCTGCTGGTTAAATGGCCTGTTTAACTAGTTTTCTTTAATCCCCTATGGCAGTGTTCACACCTTTACTGCACTTGACAAGAAATTGAACCTGAAAGATTTCACACTTTCTGGTTTGAGTGCAACATGAAAGAGATTAAAGCTGCTATTGACCTACCCTTGACCTACAGTAGCTTCTATAGTAGTTTTGACCAAGCTGAAATAAGCATTGATTTAAACATTTTTCCTGTAATCTGTCATAAATCTACATGTGGAATAGGTTAGTCATTGTTACTATACTAATGGTTAATTTACCATATTTATCAAGTTTTTTTTTTTGTTCAATTTATGAATAATGCTGAATGTTGTTTCTGGGAGTAAAACATTATTTTTTTAACCAAGTTTATTTTTTAACAAGCATTCACGAGAACAGTCCAGCGCAGGAGCCCAATTCACATGATTTAAGCATCACCATGTAAAAGCAGTGTTGTAAAGAAGAATGGGTTAAAAATATTCAAAACTGTTGAAGGAAAAATGTTTAAAGTAATTTATTTTACTTAGTAAAAACAATGTGCTCAGTTTTTGCTGTAGAAGTTTGCATTTGCATTGCTTTGGTTTCTGAGATAAAGGGGCTATTTTCAGCTCTACTATAGTGGTGCAGGAGAACTGAATGCTGTTTTGTTTTTATTCACCCTTAAATACAGAATGATGCTATATGGTTTTAAAGCTGCTATATTATTTTATTTTAGAATAAAAATCTAAAATAAAATTCTCTTCATTTTAAAATTAAATAAATTGCCTGAATATAAGGATATTGTCTGAATATAAGGATACGATATTGTTGGCTAGATCCACCACTTCTCTCACATCATTGAAAATAACCATAACAACCACAGACGTCTTTTCTCCACTATCAACAGACTGCTAAAGCCTATCTTCCCCACCACATTACCTGCCTCTTCACAACTTTGCAACACATTCTTAGATTTCCTTAGCTCCAAGATCCACAACACCCAGCATCACATTCTCTCAGAAACGCATTTCCACACTTTCTCCCTGCTTGTCCAACTTTACTGGTTCCCTCCTCTCCAACTTCTCTCTTCTTGACTCTGCATCCATCAGTAAACTGGTTTCACATTTGAAATCCACCACCTGTATATTAGATCCCAATCCCACCACTTTATTTCAGTCCTGTTTCACTTCCCTCTGCCCCGTTATCTTCAATTTAATAAAGAAATGCTTGAGCACTAGTGTTGTATGAATGGTTCTCAAAACTGCTGCCATTACCTGCATGCCAGAAAAGTCTCTGGACAATTTTTGCTCCATTTCCAACTTACCCTTTCTTGCAAAAATCCTAGCACGTGATTTTTATAATTCAGTTACTGACATAACCAAATACCCTTTTCGAACCCCTCCAATCTGTTTTCCAACAACTTCACGGCACAGAAACTGCCCTGGTCAAATCTTCTAATAGCATCTGATTCTGGTTATTTTTCTATCCTCATTTTTCTTGATCTCAGTACTGCTTTCTGCACTGTTAACCATGATATCTTACTTTCTCATCTTGTGACTATGGAGTTTCTGACACTGCTCTTAAATGGTTCAAGTCTTACCTCACTGATCGCCGTCACTTTGTCTCTCTTGGTGGATTTAGGTCTGAAATTAGACTCGTTAAGTCTGGTGTTCCTCAGGGCTCAATACCGGGCCCGTTACTTTTCAGCATTTACATGTTTCCACTTGGTCAGCTTTTAAGATCACATGGCCTCAACTATCATTCCTGTGCTGATTATACTCAAAGATACATCTATACCAAAACTGACACTGATGTGGCTATCTCTGTGACAAGACTAAAGTCATGCTTATTGGCACCCCTATTAACATTGTAAATCCAATGCTGTAACCCTACAGCATCAGTCTAAATTAAAAAACTTGGGGGTGATTTTTGATTCAGGTTTGACATTCGATCCACATTTGCAGCATATTGTCAAACATCTTTCTTTCACCTCTGAAATATCACTAGACTATGGCCTATAGTATATTATCACTAACTTTGTCTGAAAAGCTGATCATTTATGTTCTCCCATATCA